CTTTTTGTATAAGTACGGAGGTACATGCTTACTGATCTTTGTTAGCAGCAATGAATTTCTTTTCCTTGAAAAATCATGTCAACAGCATCTATAGAAAAACCAACCATTTCTAATGTCTTCTCCCACACTTGTTGAGAAGTTCCCACGTTATATGCTTCTTTGCTAGGTTTCGTAGGTTTACAATGGCAACCAATGAAGGCACAAACAGGCCACTCTTCTGCCTTCAACTTTCCACAATATTTTAGAATATCAACATCAGTAGCTGCAAAAAGTGCACTTCTTGAACCTTGTTGAGCATCAAACATGAAAAAAAACATTTTCTGATAAAGAATATTCAAAATCCTAGGAAGATCCCTCGTAACATTTGTCCGTACAGCTCCTGGCTCTACGCATAACGTATAAATTCCAGCATCAGTTGGTATGTATTTCTGAAGCATACTGCTAAACATAATTTGTGCCAGCTTACTATTTGAATAAGCCTTTCGACTCGAAAATTTGTTCTTTTTTGTTATAAAATTCATATCTTGGAAATCAACAAAACCAACTGTATGCAGAAGCGAATTCACATTAACAACTCTACTTGGAGCACCTCTTTTTAGTGAAGGTAAGAGCAAAATAGAGAGTAATGCAGGGCCAAGATGGTTCACTTGTAAATGTGTTTCGTACCCGTCTTTAGAAAATTTCTGAGGTTGTCCTATGGAATAAATACCAGCATTATTGATGAGCACATGTAGGGGTTTTGATTTTGAATTCCATTCTTGTGCAAATTTTACGACAGATTCAAGAGAAAGGAGATCGAGTTCTAAAACATCGATGCTTAGGGACCTAGAGTCGGGTTCATTTCTTAGCCATTTTTGGATGATTTGATATGCAAGATTTGTGTTTCTTACGGCCATGACAAGATGTGCACCTGACTCAGCTAATTGCCTAGCAATTTCAAGTCCAATGCCACTTGTAGCTCCTGTTACAATGCAAGTTTGGCCATTTAAAGGAGGCAAAGGCAAAGGGTCCTGTAAATTCCTAGCATTGATTTTCTGAAATAGTGTTTCACATGTCAAACGATACCATCCTTGTAACCATTCTATCCATCCTAATCTTGTTTTTTCTTTCCTCATTAATGTGAAAGCAGCAGATGATGAAACCAACAAAAGATCTGAAAGAAATAATGAATGTGAGATTCAGAAATAGATAAAAATCGGATCGAAAGGAAACATAATTTAAGTGAAATAACAACTCATCACTTGTTGAAACAAACAATTGGGAGAAGCAAAGGACTGGCAGATATTCCGGAACAGAAAAAGATTTATTCAATGCTCTAAACCATCAAAAAAGTAGAGCAGTCAATATGGGCGGGTCCCATCCCAACCCAGTGTGGGCTTTAGCAATTGACGGGCTGGGCTGGACTAGCCCATCATTTTGATGGGCCTTATAATGGTCTGCCCATCCTAACCTTATGCAGTAAAAATTGCGTGGGATAGCCACTTTTTAAAGTGGTATTTACTTTTTATCTAACATTTTTAATGCTAAGCAAAAGTAGTCACTAGTCTATTAAAATTAATATGAAAAGATGGTGTTACCCTTTCTTCTATCTCTTTTCCTTCCCAAACGGAAATACAGTGTTTATACCGACGACTGCGTTTCTTCTCATTCTCAGGTGGATTTAGTTGGAAGTTCTAATGTTAAAATGATTCATGTTCCACACTAGTCTATACTCAATATGATTCTTTTATCTTTTTCTTGAGCTTGGCACAAATGTTTATTAGCAGTCACTTTCATTTGGGGCAAGTACTTCTATAAGATTCATTTTTCGGGATGAGAAAATAAATAAATGAAAGAAACTGTGTCCTTGGTTATCGGAATAGCTAAGGACAGGTAGTCCTTAACTTGGACTTACAAGCTCATAAATTAAGGACATCTAGTCCTGAACTTACAATAACAAGCTCATAAGTTAACGACATTTGGTCCTGAACTTAGAGTTGGAAGTTCAAAAATTAAGGACATTCGGTCTTTAACTTAGAGTTACAAGCATAGAAATTAAGGATATGTAGTTCTGAACTTCGAGTTCCAAATTCAAAAGTTAAGGACATGTAGTCCTGAACTTAGAGTTACAAGTTCAGAAGTTAAGGACAGGTAGTCCTGAACTTAGACTTATAAATTTGGACAACTAGTCCTGAACTTACAGTAACAAGCTCATAAGTTAAGGACACTTAGTCCTGAACTTAGAGTTACAAGTTCAGAAGTTAAGGACAGGTAGTCCTGAACTTAGACTTATAAATTTGGACAACTAGTCCTGAACTTACAGTAACAAGCTCATAAGTTAAGGACACTTAGTCCTGAACTTAGAGTTGGAAGTTCAAAAATTAAGGATACTTGGTCCTTAACTTAGAGTTACAAGCACAGAAATTAAGGTCATGTAGTCCTTAACTTAGAGTTACAAGCACAGAAATTAAGGACAGGTAGTTCTGAATTTCGAGTTCCAAGTTCAAAAGTTAAGGACATGTAGTCCTGAACTTAGAGTTACAAGTTCAGAAGTTAAGGACAGGTAGTTCTGAATTTCGAGTTCCAAGTTCAAAAGTTAAGGACATGTAGTCCTGAACTTAGAGTTACAAGTTCAGAAGTTAAGGACAGGTAGTCCTAAACTTAGACTTATAAATTTAGGACAACTAGTCCTGAACTTACAGTAACAAGCTTATAAGTTAAGGACACTTAGAGTTGGAAGTTCAAAAATTAAGGATACTTGGTCCTTAACTTAGAGTTACAAGCACAGAAATTAAGGACAGGTAGTCCTTAACTTAGAGTTACAAGCACAGAAATTAAGGACACGTAGTCATGAACTTCAAGTTCCAAGTTCAAAAGTTAAGGACATGTAGTCCTGAACTTAGAGTTACAAGTTCAAAAGTTAAGGACAGGTAGTCCTAAACTTAGACTTATAAATTAAGGACAGCTAGTCCTGAACTTATAGTAACAAGCTCATAAGTTAAGGACACTTGATCCTGAACTTTATGAGCAGAAGGGTATTTTCGTACGGCCGGGTAAAAATTTATTAAAGCAGTGGCTAAAGACTAAAGATATTTTAAGCAGTGGCTTAAAAGTAAATACATGTATTATTACTGGCTAATTGTGCACTTCCCATATGTTGCGGGCCCCCACGGGCCTACCCATTATTTTTTAAATATAATTTTATATTTTTTCTTTAAGTTCTAACCTAAAATAAGATAAATATTTAAAAGTTAAAAAAATCTTATTGAAAAAATTTCACAAAACTTAATAACTTTTTATATTGTTCCAATATATCATAATAAATACTAAAAAAATAAAAGACAAGACTATTCAAGAGAACGTCCATGACGCTTATGGGATATCCAACACCTCATCTTCATCAAACACTTGCGAGAAGGTTGTCTTAATATCTTCACTTTCATCTACATCTACAATTCGTATGCAATATTAATTAGTTAAATATTAAGAATAATTAAATTTTTAAAACTAATTAACGTTTTAAGACTTTGATCTTTTAATATGATGAACTTAATAAACTTTAAGCTTGGGATACTCTTCTTTTTGATATTTTTTTGTGTCATATAATTTTTATATTTTATGTATATTAAATACATATTTTTATTAGGCACACGGGCCGGCCCAGCCCAGCCCAGCCTTAGTCAAGCCTCACGGGCTAGGGGCTTACTCGAGCACGACTTAAAAGCCTCATTTTTAAATGGGCTCCAAAAATTTTAGCTCAACCCTACTAAATCACGGACTGGATTGGCCCAATGGGCAAAGCCCATATTGACGGCTCTATTAAAAAGCTCTTTTGTCTCTCTTTTTAAATAAAAATTGTCAACTGATTATAGTCGAGTATGAAAAAAAAAATGTCAAGTCATTATACTTGGATAAATTTACGTAAGACTTTGTTTGGTTATAAAAAAATGTCAAGTCGTTTGGTATGAGATATAAGAAGGTATAGTGTTTGTATAAAAATTTAATACCATCTTAATACTTTGTTTGGTTAGTAAATCTGGTATAAGTTATCCCGGGATTATAATTAGTACCGGGATAACTTATACCTTATAGAGGGTGAGATCATTAGTGCCGGGATAACTTATACCTTCTTCTTAGAAATTATGCAATTGTCATTTTTAATACAACATACCAACCAGTGGATAAAAAATAATAGCAGAATAACTAATCTCAGCATAACTTATCCCAGCATAACTTATCCCGGCATAAATAGTATTCAAACCAAACAACCCCTAAGAGTATTAGTTAGTCATTGTTACGTAATGCACTTATTGATGTGGTGCAAATAATTAAGCATTTTCCTTTAGTATGTAATTAGTCATTGTTAAAGTGAATACACTTAATTGTTTGATGCATGTACCTAGTGCAGAAAAGCATTCCTCCATTAAGGCATTAACAAATGCCAAATAATCAATTTAATTTTCTACAATATTTAGTACAATAGAATTAATGCATAAAAAGAAAAAAGATTCTAGATAATAAAGCAGACTTGCCTGCTTCCGCTGAAGTTATTAACTAAAAACATTCTATATATTTATTTAAATACTCGCGTATTGATGGTTAAAGTTATTTATGTACATGTTAATTTTTTGGAGAGCCTCCTCGCGACACTAAAAGATACATAGGATTTGCACATCCAAATGATTATTTTTTGTTCCAAAGGTCATTTGTCTAAAAAAGGTTTTAAAAAAAATGAGATGTGCCACTCACTAAAAAATATTTAAGCCCATCAGAAGTTTACATTTCCGGCTATTGTAACCATTTGGTTACGTGGTGATTAAGTTGTGATTTTTATGTGACAAAATAAAGTTATGTGATTTTGATACAAAAAAAATATATAATTATGTGACTATTTGTGAAATTTACAAGATGATATATCCAGACTATTCTTTTCTACTTACTTTCAAGAAGTATGACTCTAGTTTCTCGTTCAACAAAATAAATACTCATAAAACAATAGGAAACAGAAACAAATACAGAAATAAACTTACAACAGAAATCTTTGATAGTGAAAACAAATTTAATTTCAACTAAAATGACAGAACAGCAACAAATTAAATACATGAAGTTGAATCAAAATGACAATTACAAACAAGTGATTTTAAACACTGGCTGCCGCAATTTCATAACACAGCTAACTAGCATAGGATTCTTGGCCGAAACTCGTTAAATCCTACCACATCCATATACCATCAATCCAACCAACATCAACCTTACAACCAGTGACTCGAAACCACCAACTGTCGTCGGAGCAGCTGCCTTTTCGGAAGAATGCATGGCGGCGATGGCTGACGGTGACGGTGGAGGAGGTGGAAGAGGGTGAACTACAACAGAAACCTTCATACCATCAGAGCAGCCGCCAATGCCACAAATGAAGTAATACCTCTTGGACTTGTTCAGCAAAATGAAATCTCTTCCACTGCTCCAATTCCCAAATGCACCCTCTATTATGCAGTTATCATATCCATTTTTATTCACTTCAAACACGTTATGTTGTGTCTTTTTATACCTAAATGCTGCCAAAAAAACATGGAATAGCCAAGTTAGAGAAAGGGTCGATCTGGTTAAGTTTTGTGTACTACCAGTGATAATATTGTTACAAAATCAGGTAAGTGCATGCAATAAAACCTGGAAAACAATGTAAAGAACCTGCTATGAAAGTCCCTACTTTAACTAAATTGCATTAGAAAAATTATTTTGAAGTTAAGAAAAAAGTTACTTAGTTAACATGCATTAAATTAATCAATCTTCTCCTCTTTTATTCTTCTTTAATTTTTAGTAACCACGATGTATTCTACTCTCTCCTTTTTAATTTAAATGACACATTTTACTTTCAAAAAAGAATTAACATATTTTTATATTTCGAAATAATTTAATTTTAAACTTAGATTCTATAGCCACACATATATCACGGACTGCGCTATCTAAATTGAAGCAACGGGGATAGTTTATAAACATGACTTTTGGATACCTAAATGCTCTCCAGTCTCCAGCAAACAATAAATAGACAAGTGATCAGGAAAGCAAAAGTCCGTAAATATTTACGTACAAATTAAAAATTAAAAAAAACGTACAGATTAGGTCACCGACGTAGAATGTTTGGTTGCTACTCCAGAGAGTATAGTTGATGCCGGGGTTCCAACCTTTGTTAGCTCCGACGATGTGGTCAGTGGCGGAGACGGTGGTGGCAAAGGTGGCGAGGAGGAAGAAGAGTACACAGTTGAGAGCCATGTAATTGGGAGAGATACTGATAAGCTGAATGGAAACAAGGCTTAGCAGCTCCTACTTTTTTAATTACACTATTAACTTTAAAATTAGGTTACACAACCATACCTTATATAACGGATCCAAAGCTAAAGTTTGATAAATCATCATTAGATTAGATGGTAACTATACTGTAATATTTTATACTAGGAATTATCACGCATACACCTCGTATAATGTACATTTTCCTCAATTTTTTTACCAAAAGTTAATGGATCATACTATTGTTAAATTCGTTTTTTGCTGTTACCCGCCCAATCTGTTTGAAAGACGCAGAATTAAAGAAACTCTTTTAAACAGAGCGGGTCGAAAAAAATAGTGGACGAGAATACCGTTGCACGCATTTTTTGAAAAAGAAAAAATTGCACCACTGTTTGCACCCTCTAGAGGCTGCTATATCTGTATAAAAATAATCACGGAAAAGGGCCAAAACTGCCCGCAGATTATTCGATTTGGTACAAATATGCTCTTCGTCCACCTATTGAGTCAAAAATACCCCCATCGTTATCTTTCTAGGTCACTTATGCCCCTATGGCTAATGCTCAATGCCAAATAAAAAGAAGTTTTACTTAAATTACATGTGGCAATTTTTTATTGGTCAAATTTTAAACCATGACCCCAATTAAATAAACTCACCCTTAACCCATTCTTTTAGCCAACCCAAAAATTCGACCCGCCTTGAAAAATGGCCAAACTCTTGATTGTCAAAAAAATTATCTTCTCCATCTTTCCAATTCTACCATCATCATAGCTGTCACCATCCCCTTTCCTCAGTAGCAATCACGCTGCCACCCCATTTTTAGTTTAGGGGCAGTTTTGGTCATTTTTCATATTTGTATCATCATTTTACATTTACCATTGGAGTTGTCATTTTTCGAAAATGTTCGTCAAAAGACCTTAATTTTCACATTCAAATGTCACTTATAATAGTAAATCTTTTTTTCTTTCTCATCACATAAGATAATCAAAGAACCCATTATGAATTCATGGGCTTTAAATTTCGGAATAGTCCAATTTTTTCTTCACAATTTTTATAAATTTTACAAACTCTTAATAAATTGTTAAACCCAAATGGTAATTTATTGTAGAAAATAAAATATTTATGACCTAGGTACTCCTCCTTGAACAAACTCCTAATTTTACAACAAAAAAAGGATATCAAATCGAAAAAAATTAAAGATTTTCTAACGGATCCTTTCTATTAGCATAATATTCTTGTTGCTGTTGTTTGAAAATGTAGGAATGGGGCAAAATGAGAATCATGGTTATGGTGGGTGGTGACAGCCGGTGATAGTAGAGTTGAAAAGGTGGAGAAGTTAATTTTTTTATCGAGTTTGGCCTTTTCTTAGGTGGGTCGGATTTTTGGGTTGGGTAAAAAAAGGGTTAAGGGTGAGTTTATTTAATTGGGGTCATAGTTTAAAGTTGGACCAATAAAAATTTGCCACGTGTAATTTAAGTAAACTTTTTTATTTGGCATTGATCGTTAGTCGTAGGGGCATAAGTGAGCCAGAAAGATAATGGTGGGGACATTTTTGGCTCAATAGGTGGACGGGGAACATATTTGTACCGAATCGAACCGTCCGAAGGTAGTATTGGCCCTTTTCCGAAAAAATTAAGAAGCTTAAAACAAGTCTAAACAGAGGGAAAGGCTTTAAATTTGTGGTGATTGAACTCAGTACTCTTGTGTAATAGTTCGTGTGACTAATTATAGTAATTATAAATGTTTACATTTTATAAAGTTCTTGAACAAGGTATTTCTAGTACTGATAACAATAGATGTACGTACTTGCATCCATTTCTGGAGCTCTACATCCGCTCTGATCTTAAGGCAAAATGATGAAAAATTACTACTCCTTCCATTTTAATTTATGTGACATAGTTTAAGAAGAAAAGAAAGACTTGTCAGACGTTTGGTCTTTAAAACGGGGCATTTGTATTTATACTCAGTTTTTGGATCACTTTTTAATTTATACCCGTTTTGCAAAAAAAATTACAAACGTACCCACTTTTCTCGTAACTTCAGACATACGGGCCTGAAGTAGCAAAAATTTATGTCTGAAGTTTGACCTGAAGTGTAGCAAAATTTCAGATATTTTTGCTTGAAGTTTGGCATGACTTGCAAAGGCAATCATGCAAACTTCAGTTCATAGTGCAATGACAAACTTCAGTTCAATAAAACTACAGCATATTTTGGTTGAAGTTTTTATTTTGTAATTGCTGAACTTCAGCATTCCAGGAGTTGAAGTTTTTGTTTTGTAATTGCTGAATTTCAGCATTCTAGGAGCTGAAGTTTGTTTTGTAATTGCTGAATTTCAGCATTCTAGGAGCTGAAGTTTGTTTTGTAATTGCTGAACTTCAACATTTTAGGAGCTGAAGTTTGTTTTGTAATTGTTGAACTTCAGCATTCTAGAAGCTGAAATTTTTGTTTATATTTGCTGAAGTTCAGCATTCTTAGAGCTAAAGTTCTAAACAACAATGAATTTAATAGATCATGATTAGCAGCGATTGATGCTGTTCATTTCAAAGATTAAAGAATGAAAAATATTTTCGACATAAAAACAAGTTACTACAGATAAATTAGAACCAAAAACCAATGTGCATGTAAAGCTAAAATATCTAAGAGGTTAAATTATTGTGAATAAGACCAAACTGAACATAATGGGACAAGCAGATAGATATATATGAATCATCAGGGTAGAACGCATAACAATATCTCAAACTTCAACATTCAGAAAACGAAGGAGGAGAGGAAGAGAAAGAGGCATGAAATTGTTTAAAAAGTAGGTACAAGTTAAAAAAAAATTTAAAAAGTGAGTATAGGTTAAATGAGGGCGACCAAATAGGACGCCCCGTGCAATTTTTACCTTAAAAACTTGAACAATAAAAGTTTTATGGGAGCATAACATTTGAGTGCCTATAGAAGTTTCTCACTAAGGGTGAAACGAGTAAAATAAAAATTTACATCTAAATTGGTTCCAAATATAAAAATATAAAATTCTTCTATGAATAAATTTATAAAATATATTAATATACAATTGAGGGAGCAACAAAATAAGATAGTGAGAATGAGTATGTAGCAGCACGCCTTTTCGGAAACGCACGCCTCAATCACGTTGCCTGTTAAAGGAATGGTACTACGACTACTACTACTACTCAACTTACCATTTTTATTTTCAATGATGGCGTTGAAAAAGTAGACCAAATTAATGGCTATCTTAATCCTTTGCTTCCGCAATCTGCGATCTGGTTGTACGAGAATTTTGTCGACCCATAATAATGTCTGCTTCTACAGTAACTCTGTTGAACTGACAGACAGGGATATTGGTTTTCAACTGCAGCAGAGAATTCAGTAATGATTTCTCAGTCAAGACTCAAGAGCAACCTGATCTCCTTTCTTGGGATTCAGTAATGACCCATAGGAAATTGGGCACTTCCCTATCATCCATTATCCATTGAGATTTATAGTCCGTTTGGCGGAAAAATCTAACTTAATTGCTTTTTTTTAAAAGTATTTTTTGTGAGAAATAATTTGTGTTTGACTAATTAATTTAAAAATACTTCTAAACAGTAATTAGTGTTTGGCCAAACTTATAAAAAATATTTCTAAGTGTATTTTTCTCAAAAATGTTTCACAAAAAAATACTTCTACAAAAAAGCTATTTTTTTCTGGTTCTGTTTCTGCTTTCACTTTTTTTTCCTCCTAAAAGCTTGACCAAACACTTCAAATTAGCTAAACAGACTTTCAAACACAAGCTTATTATAAAGCAGCACCAACATCTTACTGGGTCCAAAATATGCCTACTACTCCGTTTTAGCATTCTCCATAAGCTAAACGATGAAAATCCAACATTTTATTGGGTCAACGTTATTAATCAAGTGATAGTTCTCTTTACAATAGGGAAAAGAAAAAGGGACAAAAAGACTAAACTTACCAGCACTAGGTAACTGAAAACACTCCTCTGAGGATTGATCCCGTGTTACATTATTCGCCTATTTGAAACCTATCCCCACACCTGTAAAGATCGGGAATTGAGCATATATACAGATCTTGTTAAATCTCTAGAATGCCTCTCTATCAAAACTTCAAAGCCTACGCTGACAGCTTTAACTACTCCTATATAGGAGATTAAATGTAACCACTAGTTAAATTCAGGCTTTTTCAGCTGCATTATCATTATATTGAGATCCTGCAGGTACAGCATTAGGATTGCTAGATGCTACTGTGTTTTCGTTACATTCAGAATTTTGATTAGAAGGCAGTAGTTGCTCCTTGTTCAATGCAACGATCTTGAAGGGTTTCTTGAATTGTACCAAGATCATGGTCATGTTATCACATCCTTCTCCGCCTGTGGATGGCGCCACACATTTATCTAGCACTCTCTCACAGACAGCGGAGAGCTTATTTTCCTGCACCAACGGTGACACATTTAGTTTTTAAAAACTGAAAAGCGTGATCTTAGAACAGCAAATAATATAATTAAGGACTCACATGTTTTAACTGTTCCCCAACAAAGTCCACAACTTCTTGGCTTGACATGCAATCCCTAATGCACAAGAAATACAGATATAAGCACCAAAATTATGAAATTCTGGTGTAATGATACAACAACAAAAAAGGTGCAAACAGGGCCTGGCAATGTACTCGCATCTAACGTAAACTGACGTTCTAATTACAAGAATATAACCATGTCGCAGAGAATTTCTAATAACATTAAAAAGATGCAAGCTCCACCATTCCCTGGTTGACCCCATTTTTTCTTTTTTGGAAAAGTTGCATACGTATGGAAACAACATGCAGAAAGAACCATTGAACTTCCCAAAAGCCTGCAAAAATCCATACTAAATTTTTTTTCTTGTACATCTTGTCAACCTACTAGCAAACAGTATGCAAGTTCAAGTACACTAAGCCCAGCAATCTAATAAGTCTAGAAGGAAATAAACTGATTTTTTCCTAAAAGAAATTGGATTTTGGTGCAAATACAGTAACTGGGAAGATAGAACCAAAATGATACGATATACTTACCATATGCCATCACAAGCTAGAACAAGGAAAT